CCAAAACTATTCTTGATGAAGAAATAGCCACTTACCTTCAGAAATATGGCTCCGTTAACCGCCACTTTCGCATAGACAACCGTGAATCTGAGTTTGATCAGCATGTCATTGTAGAATTCACTCATGGCACTGCTATGGAATCTTTAAAGCCCCTTCTGCCCCTGACAATCCAAAGCTCTGTTCAGCCTGAAATGACTTTCGAAATAAAAAGCCTGGCAGAAGTCTATGCAGAAAATGCAAGGAGTGCCACAAGAGAATACATGAAACAGCTGAGCGAAATAGCCAATCTCTGTGGAAACTCACTTGAGGATATTCTGAAGGAAGAGCTAGCTATTCTGAAAGTATCACCTCCTGAGTCACCTCAACACTCAAACCTTGCACCCATTGAATGTATTGAAACAGAGTCACAAGACACACAAGGCGGTGAGTTACTTACCCCTGATCCAATAGTAGAATCTTCTCAGTCCACTGACCCAACTTCAAACAAAAACCTGACTGATTTCAACCTTGAGCGAACGCAACCTAATGCCACATCTCATCCCACACTTGAACTCAATCCGCCCAGTGTCCAACGAGTTGTGGTCGAACATGTAGTGCGTAATAGTGAAATGCCTTCACACTCACCCATGCCAAGCCGATTTAGAGCCTTCTCTGGTCGTGTCCCTCGTCCAAACAATGAAGCAGATTACGATACATGGCGCACAAGTGTGGAAGTGCTCATAAAAGACCCAGCTGTGTCAGACTTAAACTGCACACAAAGAATACTTGACAGCCTTCTGCCACCCGCCACAGATCTTACAAAGCATTTAGGCCCACATGCTAAGCCTGCTGAGTACTTGAAAGTGCTTGATTCAGCTTTCGGAGCTGTGGAAGATGGTGATGAGCTCTTTGCTCGATTTATGAACACCCTTCAGGATGAAGGCGAACAGCCATCGACCTATTTGCAAAGATTGCATCTGTGCTTGACAAAAGCTATGCGGCGTGGAGGTGTCAGTGAGTCGGAATTTGATAAGCAGTTGTTGAAGCAGTTTTGTCGAGGCTGCTGGGAGAACAGCCTGATCAATGACCTCCAGTTGGAGCAAAGGAAGGGAAGCCCCCCGTCTTTTTCAGAACTACTCTTGCTCTTACGGACTGAAGAGGACAAACAAACAGCAAAAGTCAGTCGTATGAGGCAACATCTCGGTCGTAACAAACCATCTTTCACTAATCAAAAACAACGAGTCATGTCACATGTACAAACAGTAAGTACCACAGAGTCAGATTTAGACATGTTAAAGAAACAAATAGCTGACCTGAGCGCGCAGCTCAGCAGCTGGAAAGCAGAAAGTGAGAAACAGAAACAACCAAAGTCACAAAAGCCAAAATGCCAGACAACTAATGCCAAAATCGAGGCTCGACCTGCAAAAAAGAGAACCACATCTACACAGAATTTTGATAAAACAAACGTAAAGCCACGACCATGGTATTGCTTTCAATGTGGAGAGGATGGTCACATTGCTTCAGCATGTGAAAATGAACCAAACCCGTCCCTGGTTGCCACAAAGAAAAAACAGTTGAAAGAGAAACAAGCTAATTGGGAATCTTCAAATGGCTCCAGCAGTAAGCCCCATTTAAACTGACTCCAGCCTCCATTGCGGGACAAGTGGAGGCTGTAGCAGACAAACCATGTCCCAAACCATGTAAAGCTTCTTTAAAGGAAACTCAGACAACCACGCAGTCTGTCAATCTTCCAAAGGGCTTGGTCGGCACCAGAACTACTGCAAGTGTCACTATTGCTGGCAGAGAGGCAAACTGTCTTTTAGATACTGGGTCCCAGGTGACAACAGTGCCCCAAAAATTCTATGAGCAACATCTTTCAGACTTACCTATTCATTCGTTGGGAGATATTCTTGATGTAGAGGGCGCTAATGGCCAAGCAGTTCCCTATTTAGGTTATGTTGAGCTCCCAATAACCTTTCCAAAAGATTTTGTTGGCTCAGAAATTAGTGTTAACACCTTGGCTTTAGTCATTCCCCCTCTCCGAGCCGCTGCTCAAGAGCAGGTGCTAGTAGGCACCAACACTCTAGATGCCCTGTATGCCACTTTCCATGAATCCAATCCAGACTTTCAGCCTGTTCCTTATGGTTACAGAGTTCTTCTAAAAATCCTTGAAACGCGACAGAAAACCTCTAACTTCTGTAGTCTTGGCTTTGCAAAACTGAAAGACAGTCAAACTGTAGTGCAGGCAGGCAAGACCACAGTTTTCGAGGCCTCAGTGTGCATTCCCAGCTCATTCACTGACAAATGTGTGATTATTGAACAGCCATCAGCCTCCCCCTTGCCTAGTGGCCTGTTCGTATTAACCAGCCTTGTTGACTTGCCAGCTAAGCAGCCCTGTAAACTACCAGTCGTCATAAAAAATGAGACAGACCATGACATAGTTGTCCCCTCAGACAGTGTGTTGGCTGATGTCAATGCCATAACTCGAGTCTTCAACAAAGAGCAAACAGGTGAAAATGCCAAACTCCCTTGACAAATTGAGAAACGCCACACATTCAGAAAAGATTCACTTTGACTTTGCAGACTCTCCGCTGCCTGTAGAATGGAAAGAACGTGTTACAGCAATGCTGAATTCAATGCCTGAAGTGTTCTCGCAGCATGAACTAGATTTTGGGCACACTGATAAAGTGCAACATCAAATAAAGCTCAGTGACGAGACACCGTTCAAATTCAGACCTCGACCAATACACCCTCATGATGTGGAGGCTGTTAGAAAACACCTTCAGGAGCTTTTGGATGCAGGAGTCATACGGGAGTCTGAATCCCCGTTCGCTTCCCCGATTGTAGTAGTCAGAAAAAAAGATGGGTCAGTTCGTCTCTGCATCGACTATAGAAAGCTCAATCTCCAAACTATTAAGGACGCTTATGCGCTGCCCAATCTTCAGGAGGCGTTTTCAGCTCTTGCAGGATCGAAATGGTTCTCGGTCTTGGACCTAAAGTCAGGGTACTATCAAATAGAGATGTCAGAGTCGGACAAGCAGAAAACAGCATTCGTGTGCCCCCTGGGGTTCTGGGAGTTCAACAGAATGCCCCAGGGGATTACCAACGCACCTTCTACGTTCCAAAGGCTCATGGAGCGATGTATGGGCTCAATGAACTTAAAGGAAGTCCTTGTCTTTATTGACGATTTAATCGTTTTTTCATCATCTCTGGAGGAACATGAGCAACGCCTGAAGCGAGTACTGCTGCGACTGAAGGAGTTCGGATTAAAATTGGCACCAGAGAAATGTAAGTTTTTTCAGTCTTCAGTCAGATACCTCGGCCATGTGGTGTCCGAGCGAGGTGTCGAAACAGACGCTGAAAAAATCAAAGCACTTACCACCTGGCCTGTCCCCACCAACCTTAAAGAACTAAGGTCCTTTTTGGGCTTTGCTGGGTATTACCGGCGATTCATTCAGGGATACTCCAACATCGTAAGGCCCTTAAATGATTTGACTGCTGGTTATCCACCACTTCGAAAAGGGAAGAAAAAGCCCACAAAACAAGGAGGCTCTCAGTACCACAATCCGAAAGAGCCATTTGGCCAGAGATGGACTCAAAATTGTCAAGAGGCCTTCGAACAGATCATCTGTAAACTCACCACAGCACCCGTATTAGGATATGCAGATCCCAAACTTCCGTATATCCTCCATACAGACGCAAGCACAGTCGGTCTTGGTGCGGCTTTGTACCAGCTTCAGGATGGACAGTTAAGAGCTATAGCTTTTGCCAGTAGAGGCCTGTCAAAAAGTGAAATGAAATATCCAGCCCACAAACTAGAGTTCTTGGCCCTTAAGTGGGCCGTCACTGAAAAATTCTCAGACTACCTTTACGGAACAGATTTCACTGTAGTAACGGATAGTAACCCGTTAACGTACATTTTGACGTCAGCAAAACTGGACGCAACGAGTTATAGGTGGCTCTCAGCCCTGTCCACTTTCTCATTCCAACTCCAATACAGGGCCGGGAAGCAAAATGTCGATGCGGATGCACTGTCCCGTCGCCCTCACAGTGCTCCAGCAGATGATCTTACATCACAAAAGGAGCTGGAAAGAATCAAACAGTTTGCTCTCACCCATCTAAGCAGTGATGACACTGATACTGTCCCAAAGGAAGTCATACAAGCCATTTGTGACAGACACACAGTTACCACCACAGACCAACTTACCTGTGAACTTACCTGTCCTGGGTTAGCCCTCGTCGAGTCTCTAGCCCTGCATGGTGATGCTGTCCCTGATAGCTTTGAGGTAGAGCAGCTAGATGGTTTCCCTCTCATTCCTTCCATCACAGAGAATGAGCTCAGGCAAAAACAAAGATCAGACCTGGCCATCGATGCTGTAATCACTCAGTTAGAAACTGGTCTGACACCACCCCCCAGCCTAAAAGCAGAGTTTCCCGAGCTTCCACTGTTGCTGCGTGAACTCAATCGCCTTGAACTGCAAAATGGTGTGCTCTACCGAAAAAGACAAACCGGTTCGGATCTCTCCTTTCAACTCGTGCTCCCCGAGGAGCTAAGGCCAATAGCCCTCCAAAGCCTTCACCATGACATGGGGCATTTAGGAGTTGATCGCACCATTGACTTAGTCCGAGCCAGATTCTATTGGCCAAAGATGTATGCTTCTGTTGAAAAGATGATCAGCACATGTGAACGCTGTGTTCGCCGCAAGTGTAAACCCGAGAGGGCAGCTCCATTAATGAACATACAGACAAGTAGGCCCCTCGAGTTACTTTGTATAGACTATCTGTCTATTGAACCAGACCAGTCCAACACAAAAGATGTATTGGTCATGACTGATCATTTTACTAAATACGCAGTGGCAATTCCAACCCCGAACCAACGAGCACGCACAGTTGCAAAAGCACTTTGGGAGAACTTTATTGTTCATTATGGTGTCCCCGATAGGCTCTTGAGTGACCAAGGCCCCGATTTTGAATCGAAGACCATACAAGAGCTCTGTGAAATCACTGGCATGAAAAAAAGTACGCACAACTCCGTATCACCCCAGGGCCAATCCTGTCGAGAGATTCAATAGGACCCTTCTCCAGATGCTTGGTACCTTGAGTGGACAGGAAAAGATGCATTGGAAGGAACATGTAAAACCTCTTGTCCATGCGTATAACAGTACAAAAAATGATACAACAGGCTATTCACCCTATGAACTAATGTTCGGGAGACAACCTAGGCTCCCCATTGATCTGGCATTCGGATTACCAGTAAACTCCCAGAAGAAGTCTCACTCTCAGTACGTCACTGACCTAAAACAACGACTGGAGGAAAGTTTTAAAATTGCAACTTCTAATGCACAGAAGAACGCGGAACGCAATAAGGCACGTTTCGACAAACAAGTGGTAGATTCAACCTTGGATGTGGGTGACAGAGTCTTGGTGCGTAATGTTAAACTCAGAGGAAAGCACAAATTAGCAAACAGATGGGAGGATGACGTGTATGTGGTCCTGAGGAAAGCGGGTGAACTGCCAGTCTATACAGTAAAGCCTGAGGGCAAGGATAGGCCAATCAGAACCTTACACCGTGATCTGCTCCTCCCTTGCAGTTTTATATCTGCCACAAATACAACAGAAGAGAGCTCCAAAAAGCCTCAGACAAAACGAAGAACAAGGCAGTGTGTTGTTCAAGAAGATGAGGAGTATGAGGAAGACTCAGAATCTGAATACTTACCAATACCTACCTGGACATCATTGCCTTCCTCCACTTCAACCAGACCTCCTGAAAGGATGTCAACTTCCGCCATGCCCAATGCTGAAAATGTAACACACCTACCAACCTGTGATACCGAACAAGTCAAAACTACTGAACAAGTCAAACCTACTGAAGAAGTCAATCTTACCGAACGAGACAAACAAACCGAATATGCCAACCAAACAGAATATGGCAATGAAACCACACATGACAATCTAAATGAAGGAGACAGACAAGCTAAGGAAAGTGTGGACTTACCTGATTGTACTTACTTACCTTGTTCCTTGGAAAATTATATTCCAACCGATGATTCTGGTGATGGAAATCAGCAATCTGGTGAAGAACTGCAGCCCATTGCAGAGGAGACATTGCCCACATGTCTCAATGGTTTCCCCCATGAAACTGTTATCTCTGAGCAACCATGTTCACTTGATGCACAAGCTGGTTCTCAAGCTCAAAACGTCCCACGAAGGTCTCAAAGATCACATGAAAGACCAGAAAGATTACAGTATTCAAGATTGGGCAATCCCTTACTGTATGTTGTTAATGCTGTCTTTAGTAGCCTGAATGAAGCTATTACAAGTTCCATGCAACAGCTTAACCGGTTGGATGCACAGGGCCGTGCATACCATCAAAGTGGGGAGGGTGTAGCCCATATTTGACAATTGAGTGCTTTTAATAAAATATGCTTAAAGCCCAAATAAGTATTTTGTTAGTAGTTCCAGACTGCTACATGATTCTGTTGTGAACAGACTAATTGTCAGCTTTTAAAGAGTTAATTTTTCCAAGTGATTGACATTTAGCTCTGGTCCAACGACCTGTCCTTATCTGCGCACTTGTCCCGCCCCATGGCCCCACACGCGCGCGCAGCCACCAGTCACCAGGTCTCTTTCTCCTTTCTTCCAATCCGAGCACATGAGACACTGGCAGAAAACTGCAGTTGAAAAAAACAAATACAGGTACAAACTTAACGCACAGTGTTAATTTAACCGATCAATCGTTGAAGTTAAACGTTATATCTCGCATATTTATTTGAAAGAAACGATATATTAAGTTAGGAATTCATTATTTTTACCCTTTGCACTTTTGGTTTTAGACGAGAGAGAGGCTAGGAGGAAGCGCCATTTTGAACTCCAGCCTTTTCACTACTGTGAGATCGGTGAGCATTTTGTTGTTTATGTTCATGTCAAATTGTAAAAAACATATGGTTGATACTTACTTTGTAAAAAAAAAAATATTTGATTATCAGAGGGAATTAATCTATGTTTTGTTTTCCGCTGCGATTTTAATGCAGTTCATGTTGTTGATTTGAGAATGTATTAGTAATTTCATGATTTTATTCCTACTTGTGAACATGGGTAATGTTACAAGCCAAAGGTTACAATCAGAACAGATTGTGAGAATGTTTTTCTTTGCATTTATAGTATTTTATGACACTGTGTCCGACAGGTCAGGTTTTTTTTGTTGGGCGGACCTGTCGTTGATGGCGAGCCACCCCCTTGGATAAACTGGTTGAGTCGATCATCTACTGCACGGTGCAGTGTGGTAGGCCCCACAGCAACATACCCTTCCACGCCTTGTCATTTGCTGCTCCTTCCTTGCACACATTCCCCTGGAACACTGGACGTTAAACTTACCTGAAATTCATAAGGACTTTTGCGGACTGTACACATATCTACATGCAGGAAGTGAACTTGGGGTGGGGTAGAGTCATTCTTCCACAAAAGGGTTTGTTGTTTGATTTGTTGATGAATGTAATGTCCATCGAACTTGAATTGTACCAGATATTTTTGTTGAACTTAAATTGAATGTGAATTTGAAAGGGTGCACCCAGGTAAGAACTGTTGACTACTGTGACTGTAAAGGAAAGTTGTCAATGAGAAGTGTTGGTACCAAAAAGAGATAATCCTGTTTACAATTTATCTTATTTTCTACTTTAATACAAGCCGGCATTTAAAACTTTTAAGCCTTTGTCTGAGTCTCATTCACATCACTGCTCCTGTAAGTAGTCGAGTCTTCTGGTCCAAATTATTTAAAGTACAGTTGGAGTGGAATTTGGGGTTAAAATTATATTCCGACTGTAACATGAGGGTTACATAGGACTTTTAAATTAGACATGTGTTTGATTATCTCATCAGATCTCAGAAGCTCCTTGAGAGTGAGCCCTACACTCTAAGAAATGAATTGCTGGATTTACATTATTGTTTTAGTGTTACAGATTTTGTCTGTTGCTAACTGCAACAATTTCTTATTAAATTAAAATCAATAATGTTAATAATATAGTAAAAATGTTCCTTCAAGACTACTCAAGACTCTTTTACCACTGAACAATACTGGTTTGGATGTAATTACATTCTTATCTTGGTGCTGATGTTAAATTAACAATGTTAAAATGCCTCCACAGCTTTATTGCAAATGTAACAACTTCAAGTCACAGTTCAATGAGGCACATGCATGCTGTATAATTAATATTATATGGAACCGTGAGAAATAAAAATACTGTACCACTTTTCCCTCTTTTTTCTCCTGGAGACTCCAAGGAGATGTTCCCTCTCAGCCAAGTGCTTGTATTATAAAGCTGTTCACAAACTTAAGGCTTTTAAAATGTTGTAAAAGATAAACACATACAAGTAAAATAAGCCCAAGGAAATTATGTAGTTTTTTTTTTTTTTTTTTTGTTAAATGAGATGTGTGTTTATGTAATAGAATTTTACTGTGAATGTTGTTGATGGCATCTGAAATGTTGCTGCTAACAAAACCATTTGCTTCACTGGATTTTTTTTTTTTTTTTTAATGAAAGTGTCAATGTTGTTGTTTGTCAGTTCCAAATCTGTATGATAACAACGGGTAGGGCATCTGGCTTAAAAATGATGATGACCAGAAGCATTGTTACCATACATGCTAGTAGTCTGTTTTTTCCATTTTAGACTTTTTGGTTGCATATTTGTTGCTTGTCTCCAAGGTGACAACAAGTCTTTTATTTAGTCTTTTATTACAGGTGTTTTTGTAGTTAAAATACCTTGACAAACATGCATTATTGTGAGTGGGGTAGCCTCTTCACAGATCCGACCAGTAAATTGGCCAAATCTGAATGCCTTATTGTGGAACATTCTGCAAAGCAATACTATCACCAACAGAAAAGTTACATACTGAACCTTGCATATTTAGGCTGAGTTCTTCTTTCAAAGTGACAATACTCTGTTATAGGGTGACCCGACGTCCCTGTTTACGCGTGACAGTCCCAGTTTTGAGTCCTGTGTCCCCTGTCCCAGCAGATTCATTCAAAACCAGTGATTTGTCCCAGTTTTATACAAGAAATGTCCCAGGTGTCCCTATTTTTGACCAGTTTGATCCCTACCAACAGTATATTGACATTTGTGTTGGTAAAATACAGAAAAGCTGCTTAAAAATGACCAAAATACAAAGAAAATGTGAATCACATGTGCAGAACAGTTTTCTTTAATTATTCATTTGTTTCACAATTGTGTTATTGCCAACCACCTGGGGACTATGAACCAGTGGACTCACTCTGCCACTGCATCTAACACATCAGTGTGTCGATGCAAAACATCTTTCTCCAGCTAAACTCAGACAAGACTGAGGTCATAGTTGGTGGTCCACAGAAACAAAGAGAGTGTCAGCAGTCACCTCCAGTCTCTCTCTCTCTAAAACCTTCAAATCAGGCAAGAAATCTAGAGGTAATAATGGACTCAGACTTGAATTTTACCAGCCACATCAAATCAATAACATCTGCAGCTTTTTACCATCTAAAAACAGCAGAAATCGAAGGTATTCCGTCTAAAGTAGACTTGGGGAGACTTATCCATGCCTTTGTCTTCAGTAGGTGAAACTACTGTAATGGTCTGCTCATTGGTCTCACCAAACGAGCTGTGAGACGCTGCAGAACATTTAGAACACTGCAGCTCAGGTTCTGACTCCAATTAGGAAGTAAGAATATATAGGTCCTGTGCTCAGGTCTCTGCACTGCCCCAGTAAACTTTGAAGCGGCTCTGCTTGTACAAGTCTCTCCATGGCCGAGCACCAAAGTACATCTTTGACATGTTAGTGCCATGTGAACCATCTGCACTCTGAGGAGCTCAAGGACCGGCCTCCTGCTGGTGCCCAGAGTCACGACTAAACACGAGGAGTCAGCATTTCAGCTTCATGCAGCTAAAACCTGGAACAGTCTGAACATGTGAGACAGGACTCAACTTTAACGCTGTTTAAATCCAGACTCAAAACAGTTCTGTTTAGCTGTGTTTGACTGAAAGGTTTTCATTTTTCATTCCGCACTCTTCTTTCTAATTTAATGTCTCTCTCTCTCTCTTTTTATTTTATGATGATTTTTTAAATTTTTTTTGTATTGTGATTTTAATGTATTTCTTATTCTATAAAGCCCTTTGAATTACTTTGTGTGTGAATTGTTAGGGCTGGGTATCATTAAGAAGTTGCCAATACGATACATACCTCGATACAAAAGCCACTTTAGCTTCAATACGATATATTTCAAATCGATTTGATACGGTTCAATAAAAAATAATGCCTAAATCATGGCTGTGAAACTAAAAGTCTTTGTTAAACCACTTCTTGTGCAAAGTTAATATGAAACACAAACATTTTAATCATCAAAACAGTGAAAATGTCAAATAAAGGAGTTTCCTTCCTCTAAACAAGTAACAGAACTGTAGCGCTGTAAATAGTAGCAGTAGTACACTAATAGTAAAATATACATAAAAAAATAAGCTTGGCAATATATCAATACAGCAGCCCATGATATCGATACTGTGTCATCACTTTAAATGATACGATATATCAATATTTCAATATTTTTGCACACCCCTACGAATTGTGCTATACAAATAAACTTACCTTGTAAATCTGGTCAACCTACACAAACTGCCACTTAACTGATGTAAAAACGAAATATTTAACCACAGGTACTACGCCCGCAAACCAGGTAGTAACTATTAAAAAGGAAAATCCACTGTTGGAGACTACAGGCCCAGTGCGGTGGAGTTTGACATCCGTTAATGTGACAGAAGAAATGCGGCTAACGTGAACAGCTACACAAAAGCGACTCCGGTATCACGCTGGGCTGTACTTTGCTCTTTTACAGGCATATAACACCTCCAGCACGCTACGTCAACGCTACAATTAGCATAAAAACGCCAAATTTCAACCACAAACTAGTCATTACCGCTGCTACGACTTATCTCCCCCTGACAAAAACGGCATTGAAACACGTTTGAACAAAGTAGCCGGTTGCAATGCAAGAACGATTAGCCTCTGACCAAGCTTAGCAACTGTAGCGGCTAATTATCGTCCCTAATTTGTTTTGATTGGGGGGGTTAGCGCCGGTGCTATGAGCGACGCTGAAAAGCTGTAGAGGCGTGAGGTAAAATAAAAGACGCAAATGGGGTGGTCCCGAGTGAAAGGCGGCCATGATGGACAGGGCAGAACCGAGGCAATTCAAGTCCGAGCTGAATACTATAGTGCTAAACGGGGACATGCTAATTACCGGTGCTATTTAATGTGTCAAATTCACAATCACCAATGTTGTTTCTTTATTGGGGACAGGGCGCTAAACGGTCCGGGCCCTCCTACTTTTTGACTGAGAGGGTCCGGGTCTGAATGAAGCTCCATATTGTGGCGTGTGGGGCAGAGCTGGTTTCATTATAAGACATGCACGTGTGTTCACAAAGATGCAGGTTTTGGACAAGTCGGATTTGGAATTGTGAAAGAAACCGAACGACGACGACATATGGGTGAAGGATTTAAAGGACCCACGTTACTCTGTTTTATGATCTGTGTTATAGTGTTGTTTTGTGGATAAAAACGAACCTGGAGTTGTGTTTTGTAGTGTTGTGTGCAGAAAGGTTTGTGACATCAGTCTAAACAGGAGTGCTGGCAGGTTTCTACACAATGTTTAATAGTTTGAAGGAACGTTTTGCTATTTGCACCATTTTCTGATGCCCTATCTCAGGGATCTCCAAACATTTTGTGTCCAGTGAGTTATCTTTACAAAATGAAAATGCCAGAGAGCCACTCATTTTAGCAGTCACAAGAAACTGTGTCGATAAGTGGACAAGCTTTACGTGTTGTAAGGTTAGATGCCTATAAAACACTATACCATTATCATTTATTAGTACATAAAGTTCAAAATAACACATGTACAATGGTAGTCAAATCTGACTTATTCAGTACAATACGTATAATTCAAAAATCCCTTGGCGAACTACTTGTAAAGTTGTGAAGAGCTGCTGGTAGCTCCCGAGCCACAGGTTGGAGACCCCTGCCCTACATCATTGTTTTCCAAAGACTCTCAGGTGCGTCACAAGAGATTTTTTTTTTTGGGTGGCCTTGTCATGATCTGCATGTAGGTCTGCAATATACAGGACAACATTTAATGTCCATAAGTCCAAATAGGCGACTTATGGATTCTTTTTCAATGACTGTTTTTCATTGTTTAAAACTTGAGTAATACTAACTGTTCAGAGACACGATCACTCAGTCAACAATAAAATATCCTCATTAACGTTCAATAATGATAAAATCCACCTTTATTTTGTGATTTACAAATGATGTCCATTGACTTGGGTCGAAAAGATTTGTGATTTTTAAACTATGGTTCCCCAGAAAAAAGTTTGGGAAACACTGTTCTACATAACCTACTGTTTTGAGATTTGGTGCAATATAAGACTAATACAAATCAAATCTTTACCTCACAAAAAGGCAATAAAAGCAATCACATTATCAGCTTATAATGAACCAACCAATGCGTTATTGATAAATCTTCAAACTCTGAAAATTTTACAATTCAGTAGACTTTGAAGATCATGTTCAAAGTAAACA